CTGCCTCTAATATGTCTCTGACTAGACCTTCATGCCTGAGAAGGTGTCCTACCAACCTATCTCGCCTATTTTTTATTGACTTCCATAGAGTCCTCTGTTCTCCTATTCTTTCCAATGCCTATTCATTTCTAACCTTTTCTACCCACGATATCCTAATCATCCGCCTATAACACCACATTTCGAACGCTTCTATCCTTTTCTTTTTCGCCGCTCCCACTGCCCATGTTTCGCACCCGTTCAGCGCTGCACTCCAAACATACACATTTAACAACCTTTTTCGAATTTCTAAATTAACCGTTCGCGAAAAATACGTTAGACACCTACGTAAAAATACGTAGGTGTCTAATATTAGGCACTATCCTAATAATCCTAAAATTCTCGCCAATTTGAAAGAGAAGGTTAATATTACCACCATAAACTGTAAAGATTACGAAACTAAAATTAGATGTGTATTACAATCGTTTGAGAGCAAATTCCAGGACATTGAAGGTACAAAACAAAGTTGACTGAAATAATCAATTATCCTGTCAATATCCAATTGGAACTCGGTGAACTGCAACATCATTCTGCATTACAAGATCTTTTTCCAAAAAAAATATCTTCTACGAAGTTAGAAACATCTTCGGAACAATTTGGAGACGATTTCTGAGAATTGTTACCAAAGGAAGATTTTCCTCCAATAACTGACCTGACCTTTCAACTTTTAAGTAGTCTTGGATTAATATACATGTTTGTGAAAAGCCTTTTAAATCTAATTTTTGTAAAAAATAAATACCGCACATCTCTAACTGTGTAGCATAAAATGGATTTGTTCTTACTGTCAACATCTGATAGGATAGCTTAGCATAGAAAAATTAATAAAACAAAAAATAGTGCGAGAAATCACACTGATTGTACCAGTTACTTAGATTTAGTAATTTTGTTACCTACATAAAAATTAATTCAAATTTCGTCATCATTTTTCTCTAACTAGAACATTCTAGTAATCGAACGTTTGAGGTGTCAAATGTCAGTTTCACTTCTGGTTAGTGGTAGTTAGTTAGACTGATAAAAATACGGTTAATTAAAATTCATTAGGATGCCTGAGAAAGCTTACTTGATGGACATTTTTAATTACATTACCATTAATTAACACTTTAAAATTTATCAGAAACGTACTAATTTCAGACTACTTTGTCGATGCAGGCATGGATTTTGTTACTTTTGAAGTGTTAAGGTTCCGTATCGCAAGATTCAATTCCTTTAGGTAAAAAGACACTCACGACGAACAATAAAACAAACGTATAAATGATATGAAATTATAAGGGTAATGGGATTAATTACGAGAAAAACAGTAAAAGTGAAATTTTAGGCTAAATTTCATTTTCATCTGCCTATATGAAACTTTTGAATTTTCCTTTCCTATTGACTATCGTTTATTGCACATAAATCTTTTATTATTTATTGTAGCGTTAATTTGAAAAATACAGCTTTTTACTTACATGAGCTTACTGTAAGAAAACAAAGCACTGAACACTAAGAAAATTCGCAAGCGCTCTTTAAATACATTCCTTTATTCTAGATTCAACCCTCACCACCGTTTTACCTATTTTTCCGCACATGTTTTAGACAAGTGATGTCTTACTCTGCGGCAGAAGTTTATTGCAAGGAAAATTTTACTGGATACACGAAAGCGCATTTATCCCGTCTTACATTATCTTAAAGATCGTTTAGAAGTCCCCCTTTGTTAATTAAAACAAATATTCTTGCGCAAATAAAGCTAAAATATAGGCTGAATAATAACGTAAACACCGAATTGTTTTTCATCTAGTAATATTAAAGGTCGTTATGTATTTTCATCTGGCAGATGACATGGCGTACACCAACCTACCCCACTAGCATATAACGGGATTGAATGAAATTCGTAAACAAAGGGAGAAAATCGTATAATTGTCTTGAAGGNTATACCAAACACGTGTTAACAAAACACATTTACTGCGTGTTACATAATCACACTTTAGCGTGTTTTAAAATGTCACACCTTGAAGTGCGTTTAAAATGACTACATCGAAAAAACGCGTAAATGTGTGACAATGTAACACACTTAGCATTTGCAGTGCAGGGAGGGCTTTCGGTATGGTCATTACCCTCATGTTTATGTATATAATAGGGTGGTGCAATATGGATCATTTTATTACTTTTTCATGGACCTCCTTCGTATTTAATTTTTACTGATCAGATATAGTATATAATTTGCGTGGTCAATTTAATTGGACAATTTTTAGGATTATTCCGCGTTGCATTCGCTCTCGCTCCCGCACCCGCTGTGGTTTGAAGGATCCTTTAGTAAGGCCTTTGCTTACTATATGAAACACTTAGGTCAGCAGTAGATATCAGTAAATGGTAATATACTGCTATAAGGGGATATTATTTATATCAACTTTAAAAGTCTATTACCTACCTATTTCCAAACTTCTCATCATGGGACTTTGAAAATTTTCTAAATATACAGTTGCCACATCTGGACTGAGGGAAGATTTTCGATTAATTTTGTTGATTTGATAAAATGTGCACAAAATTGCAACGAGCACTATGTAGAAGATCAAAATTGCTCCTAATATTATTAAAGCAGCTTTTATATAGTCCTCAATGGATATGCTGGGTCTTACTTTAAAATTCACCTTTGAGGTTTGATTAAACGTTTTTAGTCTGCCTCTCTCCTTTGTGAGGGAATTTTCAATCGAGCAATCGTAGTTATCTCCTTTTGCAACAAAAACTACAAAGAATCCATTGGGGAACTCAAAATTCTAAAATAAGTATAGCTATTTTATTTGTAAAACGAAATAAATCTAAAAATTACCCCAACAGTGAGACCCCCTCTTGTATTAACCGTTTGGTAAAATTTGCCATTGTGAATCTCACTTTCTAAATCGTAAATTGGACACTAAAATAACAAGGATCGTTATTAACCACTATATTTAGTGTTTTTTTTGTTCATTTTTAAACTTACATTAGGCTCCTGTATGCTAACATAAAAACAAGTTTGATCTTCAGAATTCACTTCCAACACCACGGTGTCACGGTAATTGTCACTATTACGCTCAAAAAATTTATAATAATAATAAATAGGTTCACTGGGAGATGTTACGACAGTATATTCTTGGTTTTCTTTAATGTAAAAGTCTTTTGCTTCTTGTGTTGCGATTTCAATATCTAATGGGCGAAGTGATGATGTGGATACCGAAATACTGAACTCTTGAAGCAATCTTGTATGGTTTAGTTGGGACAAAAAATCAACTAAAAACATAAAAACACTTATAAACAAACAACACCGAATTCTTGATATTTAAATGTTGCATATTCAAGCAGTCCAGATTGTGTTATTTTGATTATGGTAACATTAAAAGAACTAAATATTCCTGGAAGAAAGTATTTAACTAATATCGGCTAAAATCAAATCATATTAAAATATAAAATAAAATT